TAACTACTACTACTACTACCACCTAGTACTAGTATAGTACTAGTTACTATTCACTACTACTACTACTACTACTATACTACTACTACTAGTAGTACTAGGACTACTACTACTACTGACTACTACTACTACTACTACTACTACTACTACTACTACTACTACTGCTGCTACTACTACTACTACTACTACTACTACGACTACTACTACTACTACTACTACTACTACTACTACTACTACTACTACTACGACTACTACTAGTACTACCGCTACTGCTACAGCTACGACGATGAGGAGAAGGAGGAGGACGGCGCTTACCGCTCCTACTAATGTTGCTTTCCTAGAGGCCCCAGCTCCTAGGCAGGGTCGCACTGGGATAATTTTTGACAGGGGGCAATGGTGAACACTTCCCAAAGGGAATAAAGGGGTTTTAAGGAAAATGCGCTCAAAGCTTCCTACGCTCAGAGGGCTGCTGGGATTTGACTTCCAGGAGATTCACGTGTTATATCCTCAGAGCATCTGGGAAAGGTAGTAGGTCGGATGTATGGGCTTGTGAGCAAGAAGCCCACAACCCTCTGGTGCGCAGTGCTCACAACTGCATGGGCCTTGGGACACCCCACTACTTGATCAAGGTACGGTAGCGCATCACCACTGTGGCTCAGACTCGAGAGTGCCAGGGGTCTGCTTGGGTAGGTCCGGCGTTGACACCAGCTTGTGCCGCACGTTCGAGATGCGCCTGCGCCCCTGGCGTTGGCAGGGTCGCCCGGCGTCTGGTCGCGTGGGCGCTGAGCTTCGCGGCTAGCGCCATGCTGCCGAGGAGAGGCAGATATCCCGCCCGATGCCGCAGGCAGCCAATCTGGCGAGCGGTCTGTCCCCTCAGACGGCGGTCCCGCGCTGGCACTACTGGGCGGCTGCGTGAACCACCTGGTCGGGGGTTGCTAAAGGTACCCCCGGCCCAAGGTGCCCCCAGCTTTTCGCTCCGTTATTGGAGCCCCTGGGGCCCTCGGGGCCTCGTGAGGGGGTCTTGGGGCCACCTTTGGCCAGGGGCACTTCTAGCACCACCCGACCTGGATCTGCCGCTGCAGCTGCTGCGCAGCGGCGCTGAGTCGGAGGCGCCGCACGGAGCGCCCGCTCCCAGCGGCGCGGCCCCGGGGGTCTGCCGGCGAGGCGCTGGCGAGGAGCAGCGCCGTGCTCACGCGGGCGCTGCACGGCAGGGCTGGGCCTAAACGCTGTTTTGCTGGACCTCGGCCGTGTTTTGTTCTTCGTTCTGGCAGGGAGGTGCAGGAGAACAGGTGGAGAGCAAAACGAAGAGCGACACGAAATCACAACGAAGAACAACGTTGAGGTCTAGCCCTGCTGCACGGCAGCCCTCCTGCTGCCAGGCTAGCGTCCCCGGCGCCACCCCGTGCGGGTGGAGCAGCGGTTCCAGCCTCGCCGTCACTGCGCCGCAGCGTGCCCGGGCTCCAGCTCTCGCAGCAGCCGTTCTCGGAGGCTGCTCGTTCTGGGCCTCCCAGCTCGGGCTCGATCTTGGCCGCGGCATGGCCGACCCTGTCGCGCTCCCGCGGGAGCCGCAGGAACTGCGCCCCGGTGTGCGTGGCCGCGCGCTGTTCCGTGAAGCTCCCACGGAATGAGTTCCTCAGAAATGTCGGAGGCCTCGGGCTTGGAGGCGGTCTGCGTGCCCCACTCGGCAGTCTGGATCCTGACGCCCTTGCCGTTTCCCGTTCGACTCCGCGACCTCCGTGCTGCCGCCGCTACAGGCCGCGCCTGCACGCGCAGGCTTCTCGGCCTGTCGCTGGCGCTCCAACTCCTGGATCTTCCGGGCCGTGTGTCTCTCGTGGTCCACTTGGCCGCCAGCCTGGCTGCCGGGAAGACGGCCAGGGCCGGGCGTGCGTCGCCGCCTGCTCGACATCTGCGAGGGGCGCCGCTCCCTTGGACCCTTGGCGCAGTGGCGGCCCAGTTGGCGACTGGCATGCCGAGCATGGGCCCTCGCTCATGCCTGCACTGCCCCCCCCCTCGAAAGCACACGCAAATCTTTGATGGTGGTCGCCGCGCGAAACGCGGCCCACGGGGTCCGATGTTTGTGTTTTCGCAGTCGCCGGTTTCGGCGCGAACATGGGCATGTTGAGGCCCTGGGGCGCCGCCACGTCGCGGGAAAAGCCTGCGCTTGCCTTCGAGGGGGGACGTGGTTGCAGGACGCTCCTTACAAGCCTGGAACATATCCCTATCCCTATGCTGGGCACCTCCTCATCACGATGCCAATCTTAGGGATTCCCTTATTTTTGAGGGCGAATCCCTAAGATTGTCATCGCCTTTTGGCAAGTCAATCTTAGGGATAGGGATACGTTCGAGGCTGGTAACACGTCGCAGCCGAACTCTGCAGCATCGCAACAGAAAAATCACCATGAATTCGGGCCTGTCCCTCTACAGGGGGACAATTCCAAAATGGTCAAAACATAGCCTGGGGGATTATTTTTTGACTATCTTGGGGCATGTTTTGAGTATTTTTTGACTATTTTAAAATTTTCGTCCAAAATCCCTCTGTATGGGGGACAGGCCCGACTCCAAATCACCACTGGAGCCCCGGACCCCATCTCTCTGGGGCACTTTCTCGAGCTGGAGATCGATCTGTGATCGGCGTCACCCCAACATACTCATACTATAGGTTCGTCGCCCCCCCAGGGGCGCCGCGCGCACCGAGAAATCTTATGGCATATGCGTCGTGGCGGGCGCTTCCTGGCCACACCGCTCGGGAAACGACACACTACAAGATGGGTATACTATATGTTCGTGTCGGACGCGCGCCTTCAAGGAGCACAGACAGTACCAGCATGTCTTTGTGCGTCCCATCGCAGCCAAAAATCACCACCGGAGCCCCAGACCCCCTCTCCCCGGGGCACTTCCTCGAGCCGGCGGGCCGCTCCGCGAGGGTCTCGGGGCCCGAAGCTGGGCGCAGAGAGGGCGCCCCGGTGTGGAAAACGGCGGCGTGCCGCCCGGATCTCCGTGGGTCCTCCCCCTGCGCGGCCGCCGGGCCCTTCGCCGTGCAGTCGTGCCACGGCCGTGCCGTGCCGCCGACCTGCGCGGGGGCGCCGGGCCCGCGGCGCGCGCCTCTCCGCAGGCGTGCGCGGGCCGCGGCGGCTCGCGTCCGAGGCGGGAACTTGTCCGTGACCACCGCCTGGAGGGGCAGTTTTCGGAGCCTCGGCAGGCGGTGGACATGGGCATATTCGGGCCCCCGGGGGCCGAAACAAATAGATAGATACATAGATAAATAAATCAATAAATCAATAAATCAATACATACATAAATAAATCCATAGATACATAAACACATAACTACATAAATAAATGCATACATAAATACATAAATGCATAACACACATAAATAATTACATACATAAATCAATACATAAGTACATACATAAATAATTAATAAATATATAGATACATACATAGACAAATACATACATAAAACAACGAATCCATACATACATACATACATCAATACTTCAATACATAGATAAATACATAAACGAATAAGTAATTCAATCCATAAGTAAATAACTCAATACATATATATATATATATATATATATATATATATATCCAACGTCCGCTGGGGCACCAGGGCGTCGGTTCCCAGGCGGTGGGCATGGATACGCCCCTGCCTCGCACCACGGCTCCCCCGCCGCCTCGCCAGTCGGGCGCGCGAGGCCCGCCTGGCGCGGCGGACTGCGCCCGCGCGGGGGCCTGCCGAGAATCACGGCGAGCACAGCCGTGGCCTTACGTCGGGCGTGTCTCTCTACAGGGGGAATGTTCAAAGGCAATCAAATAATAGTCGGGGGACTATTTTTGCCAACCATTCTGTGGTGTTGGGTCCTCGTTTTGAAGAGACAGCGCCCCGCGTCCCACCTTCCTTCCTCCTCCTCCCCCTCCTCCCCCTCCTCCCTCCTCCCCCTCCTTGCCTCTGCTCTCGGCACACCTCTCACACGTTTCGTAGCCCCATAGGGAGCTCCACTGGAGCTCCACCAAAGAGAATCAAATAATAGTCGGGGGACTATTTTTGGAGTCCTTCTTGGCCATCTGGGGGTACTTTTGGGGGTATTTCTAGTTCTTCGTCCAATATCCCCCTGTGGGGGGACAGGCCCGACTTAGCCGTAGCCGCGCCCTCGCGGTCTGGATCCTGGGGCGCGATCCTGCGCGTGCGCGGTCGCACAGATGCGGTCCGCGCGGGGCATCCGCGGACAACGACGCCCCGCAGCCGCCGCGCGGCTGCGGCCCCGGAGGCCCGGCCCGCGAGGCCGCGGATGCGGGCAGGTGTTCTGCCCACGAGAGAAGCGGTGGAGCTGGCCGCGGACTAGCGGTATCCCCGGAGGCGCGCTCAAAGCCTCCTCGTGCGCAGGCTTGAGCCAGAGCGGCTACGGAGATCAGGGGGAGATGGAGGAGGAGGAGGAGGAGGAGGAGGAGGAGGAGGAGGAGGAGGAGGAGGAGGAGGAGGAGGAGGAGCGAGGAGGAGGAGGAGGAGGAGGAGGAGGAGGAGGGAGGAGGAGGGGGGGTGGAGTGGGAGTGAGGATGAGGAGGAGGAGGAGGAGGAGGAGGAGGAGAGGAGCTGAGGAGGAGGCGGAGGAAGGAGGAGGAGGAGGAGGAGGAAGAGGAGGAGGAGGAGGAGGAGGAGGAGGCGAAGGAGGAGGTGGAGGAGGAGGAGGCGGAGAGGGTGGATAAACATAACAGTAACACAAACAATACTGGCAGCGTGCATCATCACATCTCTCTGCGCTGTGGGATCCTTGTTGGATCAGTACTGCCTACTCTGGGGTTAGCAGCATTGCCCAGCGCTGACCTGCAATTTTGCCGCCTTCCCTGCAGCGTAGCGTGCCCACCGCCAGATGGGGAGGCCAAATCGGTGGGCGGCCGTTCCCAGGCTCCTCCCAGTCTCCTAGCTGTTTGCTTCAAGAACCCGATACGGCCCCTCCTGACCGCTCTCTGACAGCACTACTCATCTGTTAATTACTCATGATGTCGGTTCGCCCAGTGGTGGCGCTGGCCGCTGCCGTGCTGCCATTGTGCTCCGTCGCGCTGAAGGTCGTCGCTTCCGGCACCAGCCAGGGCGAGCCCGAGCTCTTCTCGGCGCCGTTCGATGATTTCGACGTCGACGAGCCCTCGGAGAGGATGCCCGCATCGGAATCCGAAGAGGACAGCTTGACTGCGAGTAGCTTAAGCCTCGGGAAAATCCGCGAGGGCCGCCCGAGGGATAAGCGGTCTCGTGCGGCCAAGTCGTGGGCGCCGCCCACTCGCAACGGCTCCTTCCCGTTTGCGGGCCCAATGCCGTCGCTGCTGTGGGACAATCGCCTGCTGATCGCCCAGGACAGGAAGTTTGCCTTCTGCTACATCGAGAAAAATGCGTGCACGCAGTTCAACTTGTTGGTAAATGGCATGAACGGGATGCCGACAAAGGACCCAATGCCGTTTTGGAAGTCGAACTCGGATGGCGTGTACAAGGAATATTTCAAGACGCACAGCATTTCCAAAGCAGACAATTGGAGCATATCAATTTTCGTTCGCGATCCGGCAGAACGGTTCTTGTCCGCTTGGCTGTCAAAGTGTGACGCATAGGAGTACGGTGGAATTGATTGCTTGGGCCCTCGGATCACTGATCTGACCGTGGGCGAGAAGGTGGAAGCGTTCGAGAGGACCGTCGTGGAGCTGCTTCCGAAGTACATGGCCAAGAGTCGAGAGAGCGGCGGGTTCAATGCCCACTACGACCTGCAGCACGGGTTCTGCGGCGCTCGAAATTTGAGCGAGTATGACTTCGTGGGGGTACTGGCGGGCTCGCCGGCCAACATCCACAGACAGGTGAAGCGCATGCTGGAGGTGCACGCCCGAGTGCTTCCGAGGGCCAAGATCATGCACCTCTCAGACCAGCTGTTCCCGACCAGCACTAAAGCGGGCCACGGGACGAACACCGTCGACCTGATGAAGACGTTCTACCAAAATCGCACGATCCTCCGGCTGGTCATGCACCAGTATGCGGAGGACTACGCATGGGCCAGCCCCACAGTACGGGCGGCCTGGGCGCAGGCGCGTCGCGCCGTTGGGCTGGAGCCCCAGGCCGCAAGGCCGGGGGCCTCGGCCGCCGCGACGGCGCAGTCGCCGCACAGGATGACGCGGAAGGAGCGGTATATCAAGGAGCGGAACAGGCATCGGGCGGGGCTAGGACGAGGATACGTCCGTTCCAGAGCGCTCTGGAGCGCTCTCAGAGCGTTCTGGCACGCTCTGACAAGGCCGCGGCGCCCGAGACATCCTCCAGAGCTGCCGAATCTCAGAGATCCCTCACCCGACTGTATCCTCGTCCCGGCTTCGGCTGAAGGCAGAGGGCGGAGAAGAGGAGGGCGGAGATGGCGGGCAGCCGGAGCGCGCCGCACTCAGCGCACGCCACCACCAGCGCAGAGGCCCAGGCTGGCCGGAGGCTTGCATGAAGCCGCACGGCCCACGACGGGGGTCCTGGAGCAGTTTCAGTCTCGTATGACTGCCGCCGGACTTGGGGGCTCCAGGCGTGGCCTACCCCGAGGGCCAGCTTGCCGCGTGACGGGGGCGGCAGGTTGTAGGACAGTGAGCGTGCGGAATGCGCTCCGCCCGCATTTGCTGCACGACAGTGCGTTCCTCATGCGCCATCGTGATCGGTCCACTTGCGTGTGCATGCATCCCAGTGACGTGTGCCGACTACTCCTGATCCTGCAATATCCCCTATTTGGCCTTCATTCATTCATTCATTCATTCTGCCTCTACTTTTGTATAATGCGTGTACATGTCCAATCTTGTCACGCTTGAGCCCGGACTGTCTTCTCTCGACACCGTGCGCGCTGTAAAAAAGATGGGGGCGGGCAATTCGGATCTACATCTTGGACGGCGCTCAGACGACAGTGCTGCCGGTCGCCAGTGCTGCCAGATCGGCATCGCATCATTTCGTTGTTCAGCTGCTCCTCGGACTTCCCCGCCGCTGGTTTCGAGAACAGGCGCTGTTCTGGCTGATCGGGCACGTACAACCTCGTCATCCAAGCCGCTGCATCATAACAGAACAACAGCAACGTGGGCTCGCCCTTGGCATGGCTCTCATTCAAAACAAACCTATGGTTTTTGACGGTGTTTGACATATGCGCACGGGTGCGGCCCGTTTGATCTCATGTGGTGCCGATTCATGGAGAACGCACTTGTAAGATCAAAGCGAGTGCTCCGCGTATCATTGTTTGACATCCATAGCGGGGAGGGCAGGGGGGGTTGTTAAGAGGACTAGCTGGGATGGTAGTGCGAACAGTTAGCGATCGTGCATACCTACACGACCACCCTTCGGGTGATAAGGAGGTTCAGGGGATGGTGGAGGAACCAACGTCTCACGCGATTGGTCTCACGATCGATCTTACTATCAATCTCACTATCGGTCTCGCTCGATCGATCTTACTCGATCGATCTCACAATCGATTTCACTCGATCTATTTCATTCAATCGATCTCACAATAGATATGACTATCGATCTCACAATCAATCTCACTATCGATCTCACTATCGATCTCACAATCTATCTCACATTCGGTCTCACTATCGATATCACTATCGACATCACAATCTATCTCACAATCAACGTCATCATCATCATCATCATCATCGACATCATCGTCATCAACGTCATCAACATCATCAGCATCATCTGGGCACCATCATCATCAGCACCTCATCACCATCATCATCAACGTCATCATCATCACCATCATCATCATCGGGACACCATCATCGTCACCATCATCATCATCATCACCATCATAACATCATCAACATGTAGTCATTGCCCTGTGGACGGTACAGGCCCATCATCAATACATCGGACGTCCCCAACCATTAATCATATCATCTATTCATCATGAACATCATATCCAAAACATCATCATCATCGGGACACCATCATCATCATCACCATCAGCATCATCATCATCATCATCATGATCGGGCCACCAGCATCATCACCTTCAGCATCGCATCATCATCCTGATCATCAACATTATCATCGTCGGGCCACCACCATGACAGGACACATCATCACTAGCATCATCATCATCATCGGGAAACCATCATCATCATCGCCATCATTATCAACAGCATCATCATCAACATCATCATCATCATCGGGGCACCCTCATCATCATCTTCACCATGATCATCACATCACCTCATCATCATCAACATCATCAGGATCATCAACATCATCATCATCATCATCATCATCATCATCATCATCATCGGGACACCATCATCATCAGTAACATCAGCATCATCAACATCATCATCATCATCATCGGGACACTATCATCATTACCACCATGGCCATCATCATCACCATCATCACCATCATCGGGACACCATCATCGTCACCATCATCATCATCATCAACATCATCATCATCATCATCATCATCATCATCATCGGGACACCATCATCAGCAGCATCATCATCAACATCAGCATCATCATCGGGACTCCATCATCATCGGGACACCATCATCATAACCATCATCATCACCGGGGCACCATCATCATTACCATCATCAGCATCATTATCATCATCGTGCCACCATCATCAAGATCATCATCATCATCACCTCATCATCATCCTCATCATCATCGGGACACCATCATCGTCATCATTATCATCAACATCGACATCATCATCATCGGGACACCATCATCATCACCATCATCATCATTATCAACAGCATCATCATCAAACTCATCATCATCATCATCTGGACACTATCATCATCATCCTCTTCATCATCACCATCTCATCATCTTAGCATCATCAACATCACCAGGATCACCAACATCATCGTCATCATCATCGGGACACCATCATCATCATCCGCAGCATCAGCATCGTCATCATCATCACCATCATCTGGACACCATTATCATCACCACCATGGCCATCATCATCATCATCATCATTATCATCATCAGCATCACTCATCATATCAATTCATCAAACATTACGTGCCAAGACTAGCGTATCGACGAATCAATCCGCAGAATCAAATGACACACTACTCATCATCATCATCATCATCATCATCATCATCATCATCATCATCATCATCATCATCGGGACACCGACGGGACACGTGCGAGACACCGGCGGGACACCGCGCGCCACCAGTTGCCGGAAGGGAGTCTTTTCATCCAGCCGCGCCTCAGCCAGAGGCGGGACATTTCTCGCCCGCCCACGCAGCTTCGCCTCGCCCGCACGCACGGCACGCACGAACACGAAAGCGAAACCGATTTCCCGGTAGGGGGGCTCTCCGTTCCACTTCGATCTCACCCCCTCACCTCCGACTAGGTATGTATTCTGATTCATGACTGTGAGTCATTTAATCGAATTAGCGACCGTGGTGCTGTGAACATTCAGCGATCGTGAGTATTCGCTGGGATTTGCTACCTCAAACTAGCGATCGTGAATCATCCGGCGGGAAAAGTCGATGCGCGGAGCGGGGTCGCCAAGTCTGGCCTCGGCATTGGAGGTCGGTTGATCTCTTGCGCTGCGGGAGCCTACGTCGCACATGCCCGCGCAGCACGGGGCGCCCAGAGGAGAAGGAGGAGGAGGAGGAGGAGGAGGAGGAGGAGGAGGAGGAGACGGTGGAGGAGGAGGAGGAGGAGGAGGAGGAGGAGGAGGAGGAGGAGAGGAGAGAGGAGGCGGAGGAAGAAGAAAAGGAGGAGCGAGGATGACGCGCCTACACGGCCGCCCACCCGGCGGAGCGAAGCTCGGAGACCCGGCCGGCCACCGCAGGGCCTCGCCCGCGCTGAGGCGCCTTCGGCTGGCCAGGCGCGAAGCTCCCCGGGCACAACAGGACACAGGAGACCCCCACAACGCAGGCCGTAAACATAGTAGCGGGCCAGGACTCGGTTAGTGCGCGGCGGACTGCAACATGCCTGTTAAACCAGGGGGAATATCCAAAAATAGCAAAAAAATAGTCAGGGGACTAGTTTTTCTACTATTTCTTCGTCCAGACTTCCCCTGCAGGGGGACAGGCCCGACCTAACGCTTCCCCCCCCGTCGCTCGCCGCCCGCACCCGCGCGAGGCGCCCACGAGGCGCCCCCGCGAAGGGCGCCTCACGGGGCGGAAACCCCGCGCAGGCCCCCACCGGCACGAGGGGCCCCGCGCGGGCGCCCGCCCGGGCGCGGCCCGCGCGGGCTCCCCTCGGAATCAAACGCAAGTCTGAAGTCGGGCCTGCCTCTCTACTGGGAGAATCTTCAGAAATAGGGAAGACATCGTCGGGGGTCGTTGTTTTTGGTATTAGTTGACCATTTTTCTTTCCTGTACTTTGGGGGTCTTGTTAGGTTTTCGCCGCCCCTCTTCGGGAGGCCTCTTGCGCCGCCACGGCGGGTGGCCTCCTGGGCCGGCGACGCCGGGGAGGAGGAGGAGGAGGCCCAAGTGGGCTGCAACAGAAAGCCCCCCCCACACTTCTCGGGACGCGCTCGGCGCCGGGAGGGGCGCAGAAACAGCGTTCCTGGGCGCGCGGACGCCCTCGGAAGCAATCGCAAGTCTTAAGTCGTGCCT